CGGACCGCGAGATCGTGACCTGGCTGAAGTCGGACGCTCAACCGACTGCGCCACCCAGGCGCCCCTTAATGTTTATTTTTGAGACAGAGAGAGACAGAGCATGAATGGGGGAGGGGCAGAGAGAGAGGGAGACACAGAATCGGAAGCAGGCTCCAGGCTCTGAGCCATCAGCCCAGAGCCTGACGCGGGGCTCGAACTCACGAACCGTGAGATTGCGACCTGAGCTGAAGTCGGACACTCAACCGACTGAGCCACCCAGGCGCCCCGCTTCTCCCTCTTTCTAGGGGCTGCTGAGCCCAACTTTGATGGCCTGGAGAGTAATCCTTACAGGAGCCAAAAGCAGCGCCAGGAGTGGGAGGTGAAGGCCCTGCTGGAGAAGGTGAGCATGTACCTGCATGTGGTTTGGGCTGGGGGTAGGAAAAGCTCCCCATGGCCCCGGGAGTCTTGGGAAGAGTGGGATTCAGCAGCCCCCTGGCTTCTGTCCCTCTTTGGATCATCCTCCTGTGGCTCCTATGGTTCCTTACCCATTCCTGTCCCTCCGTGACACCTCCAGGTACCTGCAGAGCTCATTTGTCTGGACCCACGAGCCCTGGCAGAGGTTGATGTCATCTCTTTGGAGCAAGAAAAGAAGGAGCGGATAGAGAGGCTGGTATGAATCAGGCCCAAGTGCCCAGGCCCTTCCCCCCTTCACAGCCTCCCCCGTGCCATGTCCCCAGAAGTACGACACAGCACATGGTACTGCCACGGTTCCTGGTCTCTGAGGCTCTTATGGATTTTACCCTTGTCTCCTCTCTTAGGGCTATGACCCCGAGGCCAAGGCTCCTTTCCAGCCAAAGCCAAAGCAGAAGGGCCGCAGTTCTACAGCAAGCCTGGTGAAGAGGAAGAGGAAGGTCATGGATGAGGAGCACCGGGTAAATGATCACTGGGGGGGTGGACCAGGCGTCCCGTGGGCCTCTGCCCTTGCCAGCCTGCCACTTCTCACCTTGCCGCCCTCTCACCACCCAGGATAAAGTCCGACAGAGCCTTGAGCAGCAGCCGCAGAAGCAAGAGAAGAAGGCCAAGCCCACGAGGGCCCGACCATCTGCGCTGGACAGATTTCTGCGCTGAGCCGTGCCCAAGGATGGCCTGAGAGCAACACTTTCCCCCACGACTGCCCGTGGGGAAATGACCCTATTCCTTAGAATAAGGAGGGGGCAGTATGCCCCTTCCCCAGCTGGGTAGGGACAGCTGGCTCCTGGGCTGGGTTGGGATTAAAGAAGAAGGTGGGGTTTTTTTGGATAATGTGTCTAGATCATTCTCAGGACCTGTTCCCCTCCCTTTGCCCAGCATGGGACTACTCTAGGATCTGAGGGGTCACGGTGTCCTGCTTCTACCCCCACCTCATATCTCGTCACTATAGCCTTAGCCTTGTTCTTTAGGGCCCTTCCTCCTCTCTTTCCCATGTCCCTGGAGAGGTCCTTCCCATCCAGCATGGTCTGGCAGTCTCCAGGCTCCCCGGGTATGTGTTCTTGGACTCCTGGTGACGACCACGCTGTACTCGAAGAGGCAGAGAGACAAGTTTATTGAGGAGCTTGTGCCCCTCTCCTATGGCTGGAGAGAACAACCCCAGCATTGTTTTGCTCTTCCTGGTGACCATCTTTGGGGCTGGCAGGCCAGGCCCCTCGATTTCTCTATCTTCAGTGATAGACTGAGCATCTGATAGCGGAAAGTGGCCATCTATAGCCAGCTAGGGCCCCTGCCGTGGGCCTGGGCGAGAGACGGCTGTAAGGGGTGCTGGCTAGACCCTGAGCTCCTCACTCTGCTGTGGCCCCAGACACTGTCAGCTGTGAAGCCAGGCTATTATCCGACACCGCAGGATGCCCAAGACTCCCTGGAGCCAGGAGCAGAAGGGTGCAGTCTTTTCTCCCTCAGAGCCTCCCACTAGCTTCCAGGCCTCCTGCATCTTCCAGGGGTCCAACCTGTGGGATGTCAGCAGGAATTTCCCATAGCAGCACCGGTCCAGGGGGTAGTGGGTGGCCCCAGCCAGCTTGACACAATGGGTTGGGGTGAGGCCTCCTCGTCGGGCACTTACCCCCACAAAGACATCTTCCAGTGGTAGAGGGGGTGCCCGGCTGGCCACTTTCAGGATGAGCTGCACGGCAGAAGCTGACAGCACATACCCTGTGCCAGAGGCATAGGGTGGAAAGGGGCCCCAGGTGGGAGGCCACTGCTCCTCTGATACCTGGTGTTTGCTCCCTGGTGTCCGAGAGGGGTGCACCCGCCAGTGCACACGGCCCAGGTACAAAAGAGGCATTGGCTGGCCCCTGAAGATGGACCTTTCTTCCCACTCTTCATCTTCAAACGTATTCTCTTTTGGAGGCTCCATGCTTTTCTCCCATTGTTCCCAACGGCCCCCTCGGCGAACCAGCTCCGATACCAGTTCAGGGACGTTGACAAACACGTCATCATCCGTCTTGAGGATGTAGCGGGCCACGGAGCAATGTTTGTATGCCCAACTCAGCCCGATGAGAGTCTTGAGAGTAAGGTTCCGGTAAGAGTCCCGGAAAGCCGCCTGCAAGATGTCTCCCCGAGTCGCTGCCTCTCGTGCCAGGTCGATCTCGTGGGATTCCCTGGTGGGATGCCGCAAACTTGGCTCTCCCAGCAGAAAGAGTGTCTGCACCCTGAGCCCTCGGGCTTCGCGCAGCCCGCCCCACGAAGCCCGAATGGCGTCTCTTTGGTTCAGGTTCTCTGGGGCCGTGCACACCAGTATGAGCAGGAAGGGTGGGGCGCCGGGACCCCCACATGCCTCCTCATTGGGGATCAGGAGGCGGGGCAGGGCCAGGGGCGGCCCTGGGGACGCCGGCGCCGGGAGCAGGGAGGCCAGTGAGAGGCTCAGCAGCTCCTCCCCGATGCCTGAGGGCCCGAAAAGGGTCCAAATAATCACCAGCATCAAGGCAGCAAGGAGAAGGCGCCGGAAGAGGCTGAGGGGCATGGTGTGGCGTAATCAGAAGGGACCTAGAGGGAAAGATGGGGGCGGTTAGAGTGCGGAAGCCCCAGATCTCCGTGATCTGGGTCCGTAACCGGCCACGCCTGGGATGGAGCGCGCGGCCAGTACCGGCGCCGGGAGCGGGGTGGGGGCGCCTAAGCCCAGGAGGCGGCGCGGCCGCGGGGGGTGTGGGGTAGCACAGCCGGAGCTGCGGGGAGGTTACCTTGTCGTCGGGGCCCCGCCGTCCCAAAGCTCGGCTCCATGGCGGGGTTTCGCCACAGCGCCAGTCGCCCCTCCTCCACCCGCGGTGGCGGCTGGGTCCCGCCCTCCTCCCTCGGAGAGTGTAGTGGCGCGTGCACACCGCCTTCCCGGAAGCGTAGAGGCAAGCGAAATACCGGTGGCGGGGCTTCTGTGCGACCGCGAATGGGATTCGGATCAGTGTGCCTCATAGGCAGAGGCGGGCGCGGGGCAGCCTACCAGCCGCGGCCTAACTCCCCAAGTACGCAAGCGCCCCCTCGCTCTGCTGCGGAGCCCAGCTCTTCCGGGTCAGCGATTTATAGGGTTGCCTCGGTAGGGGAAGCTCACAACTCTCCGGGTCTCCGCGGGCCACTTTTTTTCCTTAAGAAACCGAGGTTTGGTCAAGACCTGTGGTACTCTCACTTGCCACACCGCCCCACGCGCTAACCCGAGAGCCTTGGTTGTCTTGAAATTGGCTTAGGCTCCCCCTCCTAGGCCGAGTGTTTTCTCTACCTCACACCTTAGAGGGTGGGAACCAAAGAGGGTGCGCCACTTCTGGTAGGACGGGGAGTAGCAACGCCATTGCTTTACCCTAGACCCAGGGCACCTGGTTTGGGTAGCTGAGTGAGGCCATCAACTGAGAGGAGAAACACCCAAAGGGCCCACTGTGGTAGCTTTCCGGATCAGTGTCCCCAGAATAAAGGAGAACTACATACAAAGACGACTTAGGTGTATAAACTATTTATTAACAGACAAGGCCTACAGATTTATTTCTTCTTGGACACACCCACGGTGCGGCCCCTGCGGCCTGTGGTCTTGGTGTGCTGGCCTCGGACACGAAGTCTGCAGGTGAGAAGAGAAAGGTCACAGGTCACACACAACATAAAGGAAACACTTGGGGGGCATGAGAAACCTCTGGGAGTCTAGGGGCAGTCAGGGAGAGGAGACTCCCACCCCACTCACCCCCAGAAGTGGCGCAGCCCTCTGTGGGCCCGAATCTTCTTCAGTCGTTCCAGGTCTTCACGGAGTTTGTTATCCAGACCATTGGCCAGGACCTGGATTTGGAAGAGCAACGTTTTACCCACTGACCTCCTAGGACTAATTCTAATGGGACACCCTGCCTTTCTCTAATCTCTCCCATTTCAATACACACCTGGCTGTATTTTCCATCCTTCACATCCTTTTGTCTGTTCAAAAACCAGTCTGGGATCTTATACTGGCGTGGATTCTGCATAATGGTGATCACACGTTCTACCTGTCAAGCAGGACAAAGGTCAGATACAGATGGCCTCCCTTCCAAGGCAGGCCCAGCCCACAGCACCCCCTTCCTTGTCCTCACCTCATCCTCAGTGAGCTCTCCTGCCCTCTTGGTGAGATCGATGTCTGCTTTCCTCAACACCACATGAGCATATCTTCGCCCTACACCCTGAGGAGAGGTTTTGTAATTTGGGGTTGAATCTGATTTTTTTTTTTTATTGTTTGTAAGCCCCACTATTCAGCCTGCAACCACCCACCGCACTATACTTTTTTAGATACAAAGCCTAACCATTAAACAGAAAAGGTTTTATTCAGGAGCGGGTCCAAAAGAAAGCATATCTTTTCATACTGCTCAACACATACATTCATCAAGTGATGGCTCTTAAGACACTGCAGCAGCACCCAAGAATGGTACCTTCTAGTCTCTGCGTTGTGGAGGACCAAAGGCTTGGCTCTCAACGTGGATGCAGCAGCAAGAGTAAGGACTTTTGGGGTAATAGGGTTGATCAAGGGGTGGGATTGTGGTGCTCTGGGTCTCTAAGGGCCATAGTCCTTTGGGCAGGTCACCTCATCGCAATGATTAGTTTTCTAAGATCACAAACTTGATGGTCTGTGCTCAGAGATGAGCAGGCCACAGGGAGCTAACCACCCAAACCAAACTCAAGAAAACTAACACACTGGTGGCATTGTGCCGGCATCAACACGGGTACTTTGCCACCCAAACTTGCACCTGAATGGTGAAGGATGGTGTGCCAGGTTGAATAGTGCCCCTCCCCTCACTCCACTGTATGTCCACCTAGAATGTGACCTTATCTGGAAAAACGGTCATTCCAAATATACCTAGTTAAAATGAGGTTAGACCAGATTAGTGCAGGCCCTGAATCCAATGACTAGTATCCTCACAAAAAGAGAAGACGCAGAGCAAAGGCCATGTAATAAGAAGAGTGACACAGCTACAAGACAAGAAATAGCAAGGACTGTTGGCAACCACCAAAAGATTGATTCCTAGAGCCTTCTGAGGGAGCTCACACCTTGATTTTGGATGTTTGGCCTCCAGAACTATAGGAATAAGTTTTCTGTTGGTTTAAGCCAAGAAGTAGCTTGTTTCAGTAGCCCCAGGAAACGAAGACTTATTTCCTCTCTGTAAGAAATGACCTGGAATATCAAATTATCAGAAGATATTAAAGTCTAAGCCTCTCATTTACAGATAGGGGTGCCTGGGTGGCTCAGTTAAGCGTCCAACTTGACTTCCGGCTCAGGTCATGATCTTATAGTCTGTGGGTTCAAGCCCTGCATAGGGTTCTGCGCTGACAGTGCAGAGCCTGTTTGGCATTCTCTCTCCCTCGAAACAGATAAATGTGAAAAAAATAAAAGATTTACAGATAAAATAGTATGTCTGAGGTTTACTTTAAAATGATAGGGAATGGGGTGCCTGGGTGGCGCAGTCGGTTAAGCGTCCGACTTCAGCTAGGTCACGATCTCGCGGTCCGGGAGTTCGAGCCCCGCGTCAGGCTCTGGGCTGATGGCTCGGAGCCTGGACCCTGTTTCCGATTCTGTGTCTCCCTCTCTCTCTGCCCCTCCCCCGTTCATGCTCTGTCTCTCTCTGTCCCAAAAATAAATAAACGTTGAAAAAAAA